TTTTTTTTTTTACGAAAAAATAGAAAATATTATAACATAGAACACATAGATACATCTAGAAAACAACTCAAAAGCCGAAAGAACATCTCAAAAGTTGAATCTAGTGGGAGGACAAATTCAGAGAATCGCCTATAGCCAACACTAAAACAAGCGCACCCACTAACAACAAAGAAAAACAAACTCCACAACGGGAGAAAGAACTCCCCTACAGGAGAAAGAGCTCCCCTACGGGAAAAAACACGCTCCCCTACGGGAGAACCAAAATACAAAACAACACCAACACCAACAAAAACAAAAAAAAAAACTAACGACACAAACAAAACAAAGACACCAAACAAAAACTAAGGCTAGACTACACCCTTCCCGCAACCGGCAACACACCAAGGCAACACAACGCTGGCAACCCGACCGACCACCCCAATGGGCCGGACCACACTCCTAGACACGCCTCCAGAAATTGCCAAACGCACCTGACTGAAACCGCACCCAAGAAGCACGACCCCGCGCCCAGATAGTCGGTCCCAGCCCTGAAGCCTGACGAGAAACGGCCACCTAATCCCTTCACACACCCGCCGTCCCAAAGCCAGTCCACACCACGGCCCGAACTCGAAACAAAGGCCGGTCGACCCCTACCCCAACACCAGAGGAAGAGACGCCGCAAGGGATTTCGGACACCGCCCTCTACCCCGGCTGCCAACACCATACTTGAGATATGATATATAAATTGTGACATTCATATTGCATAAATCAACACCAGTTTACAACTATACTCTCACAAAACTATAAAACTCAGAACTGAACAGCACATAAAAGTCACATCTCTCCACGATACCCTCCCGATCCGAAATAATCCCGCCTCGAGTTCGCGATCTGCACGCTTTTCTGGTGCTCCAGCTTCGGACAATCCCCGATCCTATGCCCCAATCCACCACAGTAAGCACATCCCTTGACCCCACTGGCATTTGCAATCGCCTCAGCCTCCTCCGCCGGGTCGTTCAGCTCCGCCAGCACGGGTGGAATCCTCTGCTTCGCCTCCCGCAGCAAGTGCTTCAGATCCAGCAAAGTCGTTTCACTCTGATTCTTATTTATAAAAGTAGTAGCTATCCCAGTCTTCCCACACCTACCCGTCCTCCCGATCCTATGCACGTAATTCTCAATCTCACCAGGCATATCGTAATTAATTACGTGCTGTATGTCTGGAAAATCGAGCCCCTTTGAGGCAACATCAGTAGCCACCAGAACATCCTTCTTGCCCGACTTAAACGATGCGATTGCGTACTCTCTCTCTTCCTGGTCCTTCCCGCCATGTATGGCAACGGCCTCGACGCCCTTCAACAGGAGGTATTCATGGATATCGTCCACGTCAGCTTTGTTCTCGCAGAAGACAAGGACAGGTGGTGGGGTTTTCTGGAGGCACTCGAGGAGGTACACGATTTTGGCTTCTTGCTTGACGTACTCGACTTCCTGGATCACATCCAGGTTGGCAGCGCCGGCCCGGCCCACGTTGACGGTGACGGGCTTCACGAGGGCGCTTCGGGCAAAGTTTTGGATCTTGGTGGGCATGGTGGCGGAGAAGAGGAGGGTCTGCCGTTGGGCCTTGAAGTGGTCGAACACCTCACGGATATCGTCTTCGAAACCCAAGTCGACCAATCGGTCAGCTTCGTCTAATGTGAGGTATCTGTTAGGGGGAGAAACAGCAAATTTTCATGAATATTTCAAATAAAAAGGGATTTCATTTTGCTCCATTGTTCAACTTGACCAGTGGTTCACCATCTATGCATGTACTGAAAAGCTTTTCTTATGCATCTTATTATATGCTTTGATTAGAAGAATACTAGTATGACTATGATAAACCTTTCACAGGCACATACACAGTCTTGGAGGGGGAAAAATCATTATGAAAGCAGCAATGTGAGTATCTTAAACTTGATCGTCACATAAAAGAAATCTGGCCAAGCATCACCACTGGACACAGATTGGAACTCAACTTTTCCATATAAGAAAGAGGCCAAATGGTAGTGCGTGCACAGACAATAAGAAGACGAAAAAATAGCTCACAAATAGCTCACGACACTTTTCAGTATTTCAATCATCCAGACTAGATGCTCCTTTCAGATTAAAGACTACTTTGTGCAAATCTGCCAACTCAAGTTTCAAAAGCCATGTCACAGAAGCTAACTGGAAAGTACTGAAAATCAAAATTGCAAAAATGAATAGAACCAAAAAAAATAAAGCGACCAACAAATTGGATTCTAAAGGAAAGCAGTACAGGCAAGCAACAAGTATCAAGTTTTATAAGCAAACAGAGATGGAACAAAAAAGCAGTAAACAAATATGAAGTATAATTTAATCCGAACCGGCAGTTATCAAGATTCATCTTCTTCTTCGCCAGCATATCCTTGAGCCTCCCGGGTGTAGCAACTACAATATGAACCCCTTTCTTTACAACATCGAGCTGCGACTTCATGTCAACCCCTCCAATGCAAAGCAGAGGCCTCAGCTCTGGGTAACCCGCCTCCTTCATCGGCTCAAGAAACTGTTCAATAACCTCGTAAGTCTGCCTGGCCAGCTCCCTGGATGGGCAAACTATCAGCCCAAATGGGCCCTCCCCAGGAGCAATAGGCATCATAACCTCCTCCTGCAATGCAATCATAATCAAAGGCAACACAAACACCAGCGTCTTTCCCGAGCCTGTAAATGCGATCCCAATCATGTCACGGCCCGACAAAATGACCGGCATGCCCTGCACCTGGATGGGGGTCGGCTGCACAATCCCCTTCGATTTTAATTTTTTCAAAATGGGCTCGGGAAACCTCATGTCCTTGAAATTCTTGATTGGTGGGGGAACATCATCCCCATCCACAATTATGTGCCACTGCTTTCGGATGGTGTCACAAGATTTTTTAGGCATTTTCCGGATTTGCAAAGGCGGTTTCCAGCCCGTGACGAGAGGCTCGGTGTATGTGATGCCCTTAGCCAGCTCCCGGACGGACATCAGGGTTTTCTTATCGGATAAGTGTTCAATCATTTCCTTTTCCTGGAGGATTATCTGCTCCGTTTGGGTGATTTCTGGCTGATCTTTCTTGAGCTGGGAGGCTTTGACCAGCAGGCTCGGCTTGGCATCAGCTTGTTTCTGTTTCTCGATCTCCTCCTCAACTGTGGACAATTTGCCCTTGCGCATGAGGATTTTCTGGGCTTCGAGGGCACGCCGTTTGGCCACAGGGACATACTCGACGTAATCATCATCTTCTTCCATCATTTCCTGAAAAGAGCAAACTAGAAAAATGCATATAACAAGGCAAGTTTGAATTTTTTCTAATCTGATTCCAGAATAAGCTGCAGAAAAACAATGGCCCAATCTGAGCCAGCTTGAGAATATACAAGAATCGGTAACCATAAAATCCAATTTCAAGTAAAAAATGGGTGATTATTACAACACAATTAGGAGTTACATGTCGAGCTAGATACTAGAGAAAATAGACAGCTCGACATGAAGGGACACAAATCAACGGACAAAGAAACGAAACAAACATGTTTAATGGATCTTAGAGAAGAGTAAGAGCAAGAAGGTTAAAGGTCTAAGGCTCGGTGGTGCTAACTTGCGCACGTAAATCTTGATTCTTGATTATAGTTGTCTTCTATTTTTCTGTAATTTCAAATGCTGGTAAAAAAATCTCTCATAGTCCGAACCGATAATAAAAAACAGAAACCGAACCGACAAGTTTCAGTTTAACTAATTTAAACCAATACCGAACCGATAAGAGGTCGGTTACCGATTTTTCAGTTGCCGATAAATCGGTTCGGTATCGGTTTAAACCGATAAAAACCGAAACCGAAAGTCACTGTTGTAAAAAATCAAAAGTGGGATTAATAAATGTTTGGGGCAACACACAAATTGAACAAATACTGAGCACAATAACATAACAAACAAAAGACTAATACATCAACATCATCAACATCAACATACCCAGTATATTCCCAAACAGGTTGGGGTCTGGGGGGTCAGTTGTACGCAGACCTTACCCTTGTAATTATACAAGGAGGCTGTATCCATAGCGACCCAAGGTGCGTTGCGTCGTTTGATATATTTTTTCTAGAAACTTCACTAATAGAAGAATCACTAGAATTTAATTGAGCCATTTTGATCTAGTCCATTATTTGCACGATGCCAGAAGAATTGTCAACATTGACTCTTCCAGCTCTATTTGCAATGGACTCCAACAAACAAAAGACTAATAATCAGAAAAATCAAAAGCAAAAGCACAAAAATGCATTTTAAAAACAAACAACAGAACCCATTAGAAATAAAGAAACTTAAGTATAGAGTGTAAAATCTCATAATTCAGCAACAAAAAATTAAACATAATGCAAAAGCAAAAAGATTAACACATCAATCACCAGCCTCAAAATTTTCTTTTGAACTTTTTAGCATCATCACCAATGTCATAAGAAAATATTAGTCCTGGTCTATTAATTGTTATTGTAATATAAATCTGGCATACATGTCTGGCATACATGCTCTAGATCTCTACACATCCTCAGTTCATCTCTTGTGGAGCAATGGTTTGTCAGCCAACATTCAAGTTCTAACAACAGTCACACCTCACACCAGAACTTTAACACATGGAATACAAGCCCTAATTTTATTGCAGGCATAAGCATAAATACCATCCCTAATTTTAGAGAAAAAAGTTTGAAGCATAAATACTAACCCTAAATCGCAACTCCAACGCCTGATAGAAGCAACTCCGACGAGTGATAGAAGCAGACGGAAAATCGCGGCTCCGACGAGTGACAGAAGCGGACAAGCAATCGTGGCTCCAGTTGACAAATTGCGACTAACAGCTCCACGGCTTTGAAAACGAACAATCGAGCGCGAGATGAATCAGTGAACAATTGCGTTGAGAACTGATGGGTGAAATTTGTGAATCGTCGAAGGTGAAGGTGAAGGTGAAGGTGAAGGTCGACCGAAGCAGGCGATAGGCGAAGTGTTTGGGAAATTTTAATTTAACTTATTTATTTGATTTCCAATTTTTTTTTAATTAAAAATAAAATTAATAAAAAATGTTACAAATACATAATAAATGTACACATGTGTACATAATACTTGTCTTTGTCTTTTTGATTTTTGTCTTTGTCTTTTTGGTCATTGTCTTCGTCTTCCTCAGACTAGGAATAACAAAAACCAGGGAGCCTGGGTGTGTCCATGTGGAAATTAAACAAAAAAAAAAAAAATGAGAAAAGAGGAGAGACCATGGAGGTGGTGTGTTTTGGCCTTTGGGGAATAGGCAACTAAGAGCATCTCCAGTGGCTCTTCTATTCTTTTTTTCTATTGCCACATGGCACAAATAATCAAATGTGGTATGATAAATGTCTAGAAAGACTTCTAGATGTATAAGTCATTCTAAACAACTTCCACAATATATTATATTATTTATTTAATTTATCTTCTTTTTTTCAATCAATTACAATTTTACACATCACAATTTATACCACAATTAATGCTTACCATGGGAGACACATTTTTTTTAATTTTCTTTCTTCATGCTATTCAACTTAAAATGGACAATGTTCTATTGGAGATGCTCTAAGTGGTGTGTTCTACTTTATGATAAATTAACCAATGGGATGAAGACACTTGTCTCCATCCCATTGGTTAATTTTTTTTTAATAATTTTTAAACTAATATATCTTTTATATAATAAAAAAAAAATACATATACCAAAATCCATAATTTTAATTCTCTACAAATAGAGACCAATTTTGCTATACTTATTTTTTATTTTTGAATTGACATAAATATATAGTTTTTAAATCAAATCAAATAAAATAATTATATAATAATATCAAATCAAAGCAAATAAAATAATTATATAAATATATTAAATCAAAGCAAATAAAAGAATTGATTAATAATTAAAATAAAATGAAATAAAAAAAATATAATAATTAAATAAAATCAAATTAAGAAAAAAATGTTGTGGTTGGATGTTGGTGTGGTTGCTGATAAACTTGCAAAATTGAGATGGTGTGGTTGGATGATTATTGATGATGTGGAAGAGAGATAAATTAATTAAATATTAGGGTGGTTGGATGGTTGTGTGTTTGGAACAGTTGTTGTTATTCGTAGTCTCAGACTCATAAGGAATTGGAGTTTTAGTTGGAGTTTTCTTAGTTTTTTAGTTAGAATTGGAAGTAAAAACGATACTTTAGGTACTCCAACAGGCATTTGTGATCCACTAGAATTTTTAATTTTAATAGGCCAGAGAGAGATCGAAAGAGCAAAATCGATCAGATTTTTTAAAACTAACTTATTGAGTTATAATATTTCGGTTCAATTCAGTTGATTACAAAAATATCTATCAAGATTTACAAATTTAAAAAACATATATATATATTTTTTTATTAATAAATAGCAAAATCGACCAGATTTTAGAAAATCGCTACCGATTTATAGTATTTCAGTTCAAATCCGTCGATTACAAATAAGATTTACCAAAATATAAAGCTTTGTATTTTTTTTTTTATAAGATATTTGCATTGCGAATATTTTATTGTTCAATTTTTATATGAAAAATAGAATGTTATAACAAATCTAGTAAGATTGTTATGGGTTATGTTTTGAAATTTTGAGGTATATTAGGATATCTTTGCATATTTATTAATAATTTGTAAAAATAGTGCAATAATTTACAAGATCTATTGAGATCTAAAGAAATTTTATATGTATTTTTTAAAAAAAACGCAGATCGCTATCTAATTCAAATATACTTTCTTTTATTTCGTTTTGAATTTTTGTTAACTATTAACATCCTCCCTATATATTATTCTCGAATGCATTTAGCCTACGTGATTGCTTCTGGTGCTTCAGAATCCTACTTGGCAAAGAATCATACTTTGTAATTAGGTTTGGGCAAATAATATTGGTATATTAATAATTAATAATTTAGGTTTGGACATTCTATAAATATTATTTCGCCAACTTAGGTATTTTAATATAACTTGTACTAATATAACCCTTTATTTCTTTGTAATTTTACATACTGATGCACTAAGTGACTAATATATCCATGACTTTTGATTTGTTTCATTCAATTAGCTATTTAATTATAAATGTATTTTAAAAGTTGATAACTTATGTATTTCTTATCAGTTTTACATATATAATATATCAAATTAATCATCTTTTGATGATCTTCGATTTGACATCCATATTGTATACATAGTTAATAAAAATATATATATTATTATATATTTAGTATGACACTTTTCTCAATTAATATATTTATGTTTAATGTAGTTATATGTTGTAAGTTTAAAAAATTATTATAATATCACATGTAAGTTGCACAAATAAAAAGTGTCATACTAAATATAAAATAATATATATATATATATATTCTTATAAAAGATATTTAAATTTCAACTATTTTTTCTCATTAATTTTAGATTTTAAGAAAAAATTAGTAAGCACCCGTGTAATACACGGGCATTGTACTAGTCTAGTGCTAAAACTTTTTTTTTTTTGTGGGGATTTAATATATACTATTTGCAAATATAGTTAAATATTAACAGATCGAGTGCTACAACAATATTTTTTTAAAAAAAAAGTAATATACGTTTTACAAATGTCAACTCAATGTTTCAAAACATTTGTTCGCATATTTGAGTTGACTAAGGCCATCTCCAATCGAAAAACCTAAACTCAAACTCATTTTGCAGTAACTATCTCATTTTGAAGTAATTCATCTCCAACCGAAAAACTCATTCTCAAACCCAAAAGAATATTCCCAAAATATTCTATTTTACACTAATTTTTATAACTTTTCAATACTACTCACATATTTTACAACTTTACAAATTAAACCACACTATTATTTTAAATTCAATTTAGACTTTATGTAATTAAAATTAATTATACATAATAAAATCGGAGAAATAAATATTCATTAAAAATTAAAATTTCGCCACACAAATAAAATTAAAAATTACAA